ACGCTCTGCCACCGGGCTCAGTTCTCGGAGAGCGAGAGCGCCAGCGCAGCCTGCAGCGCTGCCTCCTCGTCGATGTTGTAGTCCTAAAAACAGAGGGGGGCCGTCAGGAGAGGGGGCGCAGCCGGGCCGCGCAGCCTCCACCCAGCAAGGGAGGGGGTGGCCATGGCAAGGAGCCCGTCCCCCTCCTTTTCATCCCTCTTTCTGGGGCTGCGAGCCTCCAACTCCTCTGGCACGCAGATCCCAGGAACACCGTGCTTTTTGGGGTGTCCTTTGTGCCCACGGTCCCTTTCCTGCCTGGAATCCGCTGCCGGTCCTGCTCTTAGACCTGAAACATGCCCACGGGAGCAGCTGTGGGCAAAGGATGAGGCTTCCTGGCCCTGGGCCTCTCCCAGGTTCGGCTTTATGCAACACAGCCAGCGCTCCCCAAGTGGGAATATTTCCCCAGGCATAGTTGGAGGTTCCTTTCCCGGAAAACCAGCGTCCCTGCAGTAACAGCAGGATGCTGACAAGGCCTCCCCCAGCAGCCAGACACCCCCCGAAGCTGGGCTGCTCCCCTCCCACCACTCGTGAAGCTTCGAAGAAAAGGGCTTTTGTGTTACAGTTCCTCAGGGAAGAGTTTAATGGAGCACACGGAGAGCAACTCGTCTTCACGGAGAGCAGCTTCCCCCTCCTCCTTCCGAGAGGTTTTCCTGGGGTGTCTGACAACAACCACCTCGAACAGCCCCCGGCGCAGGCGCGGAGACCCCGTGGGGGTCTCCCGAGTGGGATTACACGTGTGCCATGTGCCTCCCGCAAAGTCTAACGGAGAATCCGTGCCTTCCCCTCCAGAGGAGCTGCACAGCAGGACGGGCCGGTCGCAGCCCGGGAAGGGCTAGTTCGGCATCCCAGCCGCTCAGGCGGGACACGGGGAAGGTGACCCCGTTCCACGGAAGGGCCGTACTCACCACGAAGGTGTCGTAGGAGAACTTGTGCCTGTGGAGGAGGTGCTGGAGGAAGTTGGCGCTCTTGTAGCTGGGGTCCCCCCAGGGCATGGCTGAGCAGACCGGGCACACCTGCGGCGGGCAGGGACGGAGGGCAACTGTGACTTGGGACAAACCTTCCGCCTCCAACTCCCTCCCCGGGGCTGGTGCAGCCCCAGCACGAGGGAGCGGGGAGTAGCGGTGTCCCCCCCTTCTGACAGAGGGTGATCTACAGAGGATGTGCTACAGGGGGTCGCCCAGCCCCCCTTGAGCAAATCCCTTGGTGCACAGAGCCTCTGGCACGTGGCCCAGGCTGCTTTTAGCCCTCTGCTAAGTCACAAGTGCCTCGGAGGTGGTGCCAGAGCTGCAAATTCCCCGCCTCGGTCAACCCAGCGGGGACGGGGAGAGGAAATACCGCACCACCCGGGTCGCAGGCACCGGGGGGACGGAGGCGGCGCGTTCCAGAGAGCTTCTACCAAAACAAACAGAGGCAGGTCCCACCGCCCATCAAAGGGATTTAAACCAAACTAAACGAGCCAGAAATACAGCTGCACTTTACGTGCAGCAGCAGCTCTGCACGCCGGTGGCCCAGGATGCAGCACCCGTTAGGGTGTACTTGGATTTCCAAGAGCTATCCCGCACAGAACCAGCCTGTCCCAACGCCCCAGGCTCGCTCACCACTTTGTTGGGGTCATTGCGGTGGTTCTCCATGCAGTGCTTCACCAGCTCCTGCTGGTCCAGGTTCCGGGCCCCGCAGTACGGACACACGAACGTCGAGCGATTGGGAATATTGCTGAAGAGAGCAAGGGCAAGTTCAGATCCCCTGGGAAAGGACCGGATGGATTCTTTCCAAACTAACCCAGCCACCCCGGCTTGGCTTTGTGCCACCCACCCACAGCGGAAACCAGCCCAACCCATTCCCACTCCAGGCTGAACCACCCTGGTTTGGTTGGTCCTTCCTCCCACACAAGCTCTGAAACACGGGACAGTGCAGGGGCTGCAGGTGCCAGGAGGGAAAAAAGTGCTGATGTTTCTCCCCTCGATTGCCCAGGGGAAAGTAAAACACATCCTTGGATTTTAGGGCTTGTGAGGGATGGCAGTGCCAGTGCAGAGTCTGCAGGGAGGGACGCGTTTCCCCACCCGACACGAGGCGGTACCTGGGGATAGGCTGGGACGTGGGGACAACCGGAACGAACTTGGGGCAGTTGGCCATCTGCTCCTGCACCTTGGCGCAGGACGAGACGTGAGAGCGCATTTTCGCGAGGGTCACCTGGAGGAAAACGAGAGAAGAAACGTTCCCAGAGGCCACCACACCCTCTGGACGCAGCGCCGGAGCCTCGGCTACAGCTCAGGAGAGACGTTTGGGCCGTCAGGGCCGACGCCGGTCTGCATGGGATGGCCCAGGCCAGCGCGGAAACGCTGCAACAGCCCATCTTTCCTCGGCACATGGACGCCAGGGCTAGATGCTCGCTGCACGTGTCCCCAGAGGTCAGGCCCAGGCCGCCCCGGCTGCACTGGCGTAGCGCTGGCTCCGCTCTCCTTTGCAAAAGAGGAACCGGTGCCAGGCGGAAGCCCCACACGGCTCTGAGACCGTACGGGATCGTTCCTGGGCTGCAGTCAGGGAGTTACAAGATCCCCAAAGTTAACGGAAGCCAGAAAGCGCCTCAGCAGAGACACATCAGGAATCACAGCTTTACAGCCAGGCCCCAAAGCATCCCAGACCAGAATGCTCCAGGCCACGCTGCCAGTTCAGCTTTCCCCATGCTGGGATCACGGCACCTTAAGCAAGACCTCAGTCCTTACCCTCGTTAGGAGCAGCAGCAGAGCCGGTTTGCCTCGGCCTCTCCCATCCTGCAGGAAAACCTGAGCCTGCTTTTGAAGGTCCCCACTGTCTAATAATAGCTCCAGTCTGCTGACAAAGGCAGCTAGGAGAGAGCGCCTTCATCACCGCTTGCCTGGCTCACGGCAGCGGCCGTGACACACCGGGGACACAACAGTTTGGGGACCCTGCAAACCCAACTGTGGAAAGCAAGCGACCTCCCTCCCGCCCCCGGCAGCAGGACTGCGGGATCAGCAGCCAAACGAAGCCGTGTCCGTGCAGGATGGGGACACACAGCCTTCCCCCGTGGGCTTTACCTTCTTGCTGCAGCCTCTGCAGGGAGCTTTGTAGGATGAAAGCTGTTTCTCCACGCTGGAAGCCTTTTCCACCTTCTTGGGATCGAAGGGCATGCGGCAGAGCGGGCAGAGCGGGGATGGCACTTGGAGGCAGGGCTGCAGGCACTCCCCGCAAAACCTGGGGGCACAGAGAGCAGCGTCAAGCGCTCCGGCGATGGCACAGCCGCTCCGAGGGACTCCTGCACACCCCACGCTGCAGGGCAGGCCCAAAATTCAGGGATTGGCATCCCCACTGGGAGGAACTGGACAGAACTGGGAGCCTGGGAGATGGTGTGGGGAGGCCAGGCACAAGCTAAGCCCCCAGGGAACTGCCTGCACATGCAGCCGGGGCACGGACAACGTTGCTGCTCCCAGACCAGCGGCCGGGAGCGGATTTGAACGGAGCCAAACAACAAACGATGCCGAGCATCCAGGCCACGCAGGAATAAAGCCGGCGGGCGCGTTAGAGCCCGGCTCACCTCCTTTCAAGGCCCTTACGCCTGCAAGAGCGCGGATGAGAAATCAGGACGCGCGGGAAGGCATCCCCGGGCAGGAGGTGCAGCGGCT